AATAGAAAAATACGCACGCCTAACATTAAGTTTCAACTCTATAGAATTATGATTCAAGCATTGCGGATGGTGCACAGAACAAGTCCATCTGTCCTCGTCAATCTCTTTCACAGCTCTAATAACGTGGCTTATGCGGCATGGCAAAGTCTTGTTACTTGGGCAGTCTTGCCGCAGAGGGGAGCAGGGCTGTCTGCAGCTGGCGTAAGACAAGTACAACGAGCTACCACTGTCAGCCTGGTCAGATAAATTGCAAAAAATCCTTAAATTGCCAAAATATCTGTTGGATCCATCAGGTGGTGCCAGAGGAACCGCAATTCTTTTTCGAAAAATGCAATGGTATATGTATTTTATAGACTTACCAGTATGATTCTCAACTTTTATAGTGACACAGCCTCTCAAAAATGAACAATAGATAATAAAGCAAATATTTCGTATGAAATAAAACTTAATTTTGACAGGAAAGTTGTGTATTGATGAAACTTCCGGGTGTTTGTGAATTTCTTTTCATCTTATTTATATTAACTCAGCAGGTCATATGACATTGGTATTCTAGACGTCAGATATTTCCATGCGTCCACTCTTGCAAAAAAAGTCAATTTCGAAAATTTAGATCCGTACAACTCACGCCAACTTTACCTTTGAGGTTTTTCCTAGCTTACCGTATAATTCACCGTGCAGACTAGAGTGACATTCTCTCCCACTACGGCGTCGTATTTCCAAGCACAATACCTTTCTCTGCAGTGCGGGCTGACAAAGACCGGTTGGTCGAAGTCACAGCCCTTCTCACCAACTGGAATAAATTCGTAATGAGTACGGTGCTCCAGATACAAGTAGTATCAACTATTATACAGTATCTGGGGTAGTGGTATGAATTGTTTTGCTTTAGCCAAATTTCTCTTGGAATTTTTTTTTTAGCCAAACGAACACTTTATTAGTCAAATTACAAATGATAAAGTCAGGCTTATAACTTTAAATTACTTTCTTGTAAAATATATAATTCTGTTACTGTAGTTGAAATTGTTACAAATAGTATCAAATTGTAAAAAAAAAAAGATAAACTTGTAAATAAACGACCTCAACAAATGCAAGTGTCGAGTAAAAGTTTCGTGTTCCATACCAGGAAGTTCAGTGCCTCAGTGTGATACTTTATTGTACACCGTATACTGTAGGAGTTATCCCCCCAAATCGCATTTCCCTCAAGAACATAAGTAATTTTCACCTACGTGCAAATCATTTTTGACCCCAACCTGCACTTGAATTCGATTTTTATACCATTTTTATTTATATTAAATATTTTAATTTTTGAGTGCCTGGCTGGACGCAAATACCACCACGTCCTCCTGAACACTCCAGATGTTCTTATCGACAGGACTGAATAAATGCCATAAAAATGTTGTCATTTTCATGATAAGATATACAATTTGAGATCAGCAATATCGCCAGTAAAAGTGCCCTGTAAATTGTAATATTCATTGTATTGTATTTTATTCATTTTTACAGTAGTAATAATAACTATACATTTATTTATTCTTTGTTCATTTCCAAAATGTGTGTGTGTGTGTGTGTGTGTGTGTGTGTGTGCTTCTATATTAACTACCTCCGCCAAGGAGGTTATGTTTTCACCCCTGTTTGTTTGTCTGTTTGTCTGTCATCAACATAACTCAAAATGTCATGGACTGATTTTAATGAAATTTTCAGGAACTGTCAGAAGTGGGGTAGGGAAGAGATGATTAGTTTTTGGTGGTGATTCGGATCAATAATCAATCAATAATCAATAATAATAATAATAAATTGCTGCCTTGGCGGAGGTCTGCTCTCTCGGAGTGCTTTTCTAGCTTTCATTGATTTTATTTTTTATCAACATCGGGAGCTTAATAAAGAATTTTTAAAATGTCATTTCTGTCATTCTGCAGAAGTTCTATTTCTGTACAGAACATGGACTTTTGTCTCCCATGCATGTTATTTGTCAACTAAAACACGATTTAAATGATTACATTTGATAACGAAAAGCCCTACAGAGATGACATAGGCCCTACTTATTTCGACATGTCGGTTATCGATGTAAAGATAATGCAATAACACCCTGGTAGTTGTTAAACAGCTCCCAATATAACCGCAAATCAAAATTAATTTTTTTTACAAGCTGCGGCAGAACTTTATAAAACATTTTTGACCACTAAATGTAAGTTCAGTTACATGAAGAGGCATTCTATTCTTCGTACTTCGTAAGATCTATATTCACAATTCTAACCGAGTTTCAAGTTTTTTATTTGAAATTATCGCACCTTATTACAGTGATCATAAAGTGTATATAATAACAGTCACGAGCACTGGTCTATTGAAACACGTAAGTCGATTCTTGGAAGGTCGATAAATAGATGCCGAGTGCACTTTGTATTTCAGATAGCGTTTCATAATTACCAAGCATGAGATGGCGTTGAACATTAACCAGTAAAAGTAATTCACAGGTAGTCAGACTCACTAGCGCATGATCTACTCAAACTGATAACTCTGTTCTTGGAAAGGTCATCTCAGCCACCATGAACGAAAAAATCACCCTGAAGTTCAGAGTGTTGATTGTGACTCTTTCATACCAAGCATACGTTCATCGTTGTACAGCGCAGGTGCAGGTGCGACAGGAATAGTGGTCTAAGGAATGGAACCCCAGGGTCCCAGAAGATTACTAGGGTAATACTGGCTAGGACTCAAAGTGCCCTAGGTTTCCCATTACATTGGACAGGAACCCTAACCAGTACCTAGGATTGAAGATCTATATTTTGGGTCCTACGGAAAACGGACTCCAGTTCCCAACGGACAACCATCCCTGCCATACCGGTTAAAGGGTTACAAACTGTTCATTTTGGCCAAAAAATGAATTTTTCTGGGGTAAATAGCAATTTTCACATACTTACCAATGGTCAATGAATCCATTACTACATTCAAAGTTAGACCCTGTTTTTTTTTCTAAATTTTTTTTTTTGTAATAATCTCTTAAGATTTTTATAACAGTTCTCGTGACTGTCATTATTCACTTTATGACCACTGTAATGAGGTGCGATAATTTAAACTCTTAAGAGATTATTACATAGTATAGCTTTACCAGTATAGCTATGGAGGTTACATGGTCGGATGGCAAGCACATATTTCAGATTAATTACTATTGCTGTCGTTTTTGTGGCAAAATAGAATATATTATATTTCTATGAGTTGTTTACAATGCATTTATAGTGAAATATAGATCTCATATGAAGAATTGTTATCCCTTCAAGTTTCTTTCCGACTTTAAAACTCACAGGCTGAAAATGCTGCAAATGCTGTGGCTAGTCGCGCTGTGTGTATTGCCATACCGGCACCTCTATATAAAGATGGGCCCACATAGTGCTCACTATTGCTCTATGTAGATCAATCCAACTCAACGTAATGTTTGCATGTAAAATTGGTATCCAAGTTCTTAGGGAGGTTAAATTATTATTATTTTTTTTATTTTTATTTATTTATTTTTGTGTGTGTGTGTGTGTGTGTGTGTGTGTGTGTGTGTGTGTGAAAAAGGGGCCTGGTTTTAGCTCCTTTTTAAAGAAGCTAATACACCCTTATACCGGCAGTACACAGTAAATGAGCGTTTACTACAACTGATGGATTTCACTACTGTTATTTCACTAGGACGTTCTTACCTGTATGACTCCGACCAATACAGAACGCCAAAAGAATTGCACATCCGTAAACCGAAGCCCTCGTCATGGCAACATCAGGTAGAAACTGCAAGTTGTCAGAACAGTCAAGAGAAGGCTGCATACGTAGACACTTTATCAAATCACATGTTAATGAATAACAGAAAGAAAGATAATACGCGACATATTGTTTATATGTAACTTATTGATAAATTTATCAATTTTGGATTGCGGGGAAATACCCTTTTATCAGGGCCAGTAGCTTTCATTATTATTTGTATAATTTTTTATTACACAACCAAAACTTTAGTAAAAGCCAAAGCAGAGGATCACACCTTGCTGTCGGAGATCCTGGCGGACCTGCCCTTTGCCCATACCGGTTAAATATCGTCAATTTTTTCTAATTATCATACATAATATTTGTTGTAATTTACCTCGTAAACATTCATTAAATTTGGTTGTCTAAGAAAAGGTACTGTTTCATCCAAAGCTTGTGAAAATATCGAAATATAATTTAAATTAAATTTTCACGTCAAGAACAACATCCGGATACGTAGGCCATATCTAATGCAACTTCAATGGGCATCTCATTTTCTCTACGACCTATCTCATAACACCAATACATAGATAGCAAAAACAGACATGTACGTAAATGCATAGATAATGTTAATGTGATAATCATTATCTCCCTGTGTAATGTTATTATCTCCAACAAGGATGCATCAGAAGCTATTGACATGCTATATAAACTGTATGTTATCCATGCTAAATTCGTTGAACCACTTTCCGCATTTCATCAAATCCGTGTTACACCGGCAACCCTGAATTTTGGCCCACTCTTGCAAATATGCAACAAAAGAGAAGGCTGTGATACATTAAAAGGATAACAAAAAAAAAAAAAAAAAGATTTTTTCTGGGGTTAACAGCAATTCCCCCGTACTTACCAACGCTTAATGAATCCATTTCTACATTCAAAGTTAGTCCCTTGTTTTTTGTTTTTTTTTTTCAAAAAAGTTTTTTTTTTTTTTTTTTTTTTTGTAATAATCTCTTGATCTTTCTTGACCTTGATGGCCATGTACTGTCAAAGCTTCAACTGTCAAGAGGGTGAAAGTGGGCCAACATTTCTTCCCCAAGCAGTCGCAAATATTACAGAATCGTTAGTATTATTCATGGTGTAAATTTACATAACCTCAACTGAATAAGTAGCAAGAAAGATACACACGCACAAAAATAAAAAAGAGAAATAAATCGTGGGTAATACCCATCCCAAGCTAATTAACTCGCAAGAAATATCTATAAAACACTGCATAAAAACCACGACTGCCATTAAAAGATCGAGATTAAGCAAGACCGCGAAAAGAAAAGATGAGCTGGATGTTTTACTTTGCAGTGATCCTAGCAGAGGCGCTCCTCGAAAACGCAGGTATTGGTGTTACAGCTGTAATAAATCAGCTCGTATTTCACTTTCGTTAGAGATATTGGTAAAATGTAAATCTGCTGTGGCGTCAGTCGAAAATTCAAAGTGACCAGTCAAAGTGATCTTTGAGGTCATAAATCTTTATATTATATTCCTTAAATGGATCAACCTTCATTGGTAATTTCTGTTCGTTATTAGTGTGTTGGTTCACTTTGCTTAATTTTAACCGTGACCCGAGAATGCCTAGAATTTATGTATGACAGTCAATGTGGCACATTATTATTCGGTAATATGACACCTTTTTGTAGTCGCGCAAAGCTCCAAGAGTTCTTGCGAAAAGTATGGGACTGTTTTCTTCCCGGTGCCGAACACACACTGCCAAGATTTCTCCCAGGAGGCAATAGAGGGCAGCAGGTACCAGTACAGGCTAAAGAGGTGTGGGAAGCACCTGGCCTTTGACGTCGAAGTATGCGCCTGTAACTGGAAAACAGAATTCTCTTGTCCTCTTAGTGAGTCTTGTCTCATTTGTTTGGTTTGATAATGAAACTTTTAATAAGCCAATCGATTATGAACTTATTCCATAGCAAATAGTAATATGTATAGGCCTATATTTATCCGCACCGGTTTGTATCTTAACGTACGAGTATATGTTATTTCTAATTAATAAATTTATCCATTTACTTAGGCCTATTTATCTATTTCTGACAAAGGCTTAAAAGGACACAAAAGAGGATTTTCGCGCCAAAATTGATTTATCCCGATTTATCCTGAGGTTAACAGTACTTTTCCGCGATTTACCAACCTTTAATCTATCATTCCCGGCACTCGCCATCGCTCTGTAACATTTTTGGAAAATACAATAAAAAGAAAACCTCCGCTTAAGCGGAGGTTTACCAACAACCACCTCCATTTTCATTATTGAGCTCTCTAGACTTCCGGATATCGCGAGATTCTCGTATTGCGACCTAGTTAAAACTAGTTCAAGCTGCCGGGAAAGCACATGGAACAGGAGGCTGAATTAGTTGAGACTCCTTCGAAGAAGGGAAGAAAGATAACAAAAAGAAAAAGGAAACACTCTTTACAAAAGTCAACACCAGAAAAATAAAATGCGCGTAAAACAGTGTATCAGCAAATGTACGACAGGCAAACAATAAACACCGGCGAGGAAGAAGGCAGATGAAAATTAACCTGCTTGCATGGATACGAAGGATCGCCTGGCCGCGAAGTATTTACTGGATTGNTAATGATCTTATCCATTTATTCAACTATCCTTTTGTTGGGCCAGGGAATTATATCCGACATAATTCCCTGGTTGGGCATATATTACGTTATCCGTCTATAAAAATAAAATCAATTAGTTTAATTTTCTCGCTCATTTATTTATTTATAGGCCCTATATGTTGGCCGGTTGGTTGATGTACAGAAATCAGTTCATTTTTCAGCTTTCAACTACACGTCTACGCCCAAATACATCTCATGTGTGTCGAAGTGTATGGGCCTCACTACCGTGGCGGTGCAGAACATATTCAGTGACTGCGGCACCAGTGCTGGCTGCTGGGCAGGACATGGGGGCAGCTACTGCTACTTTATCTGTCACATTCGACCAGAGCAACCAGGTGCGCCTCTCTCTCAGTGTCTTTCTCTCCCTCCCTCTCACTCTCTCTCTCTCTCTCTCTCTCAGAATATCACGTCAGTGAGTGGGTGTACACTTAGTTATTATTATTATTATTACTATTATTATTTTGATATAGGTGACCAGTGCATACCTGACTCCGGTCAAGTATGGAGCGCATGTGGCTCCGCCTGTACCAAGACATGCCGCGACCCCAACCCACCTTGCCGTAATAAGCAGTGTGTAGCAAGATGTCAGTGCCCGCCAAGCAGACCGCTTTCCTTGGGTGGACAGTGTGTCAGCGCAGCCCAGTGCCCCTCACGTAAGCGCCAGTCATCTAACTAAAAATACGAATACTAACGAATCTCTGGATATAGGCCTACCTGTGTAGCAACCTGCTACATGCTTTTTGTAATTTTTATTTATTTATTTATTTATTTTTATTTTATTTTATTTATTTATTTATTTATTTATTTTTTTTTTTTTGTGGTACAATTATCATTGGCATGTAAACAAAATACATTATACTTAGGCCTACTGGTACTTTTCAAGTATTTATTCAGATAAGTAAAATAGCTAACTAAAATAAATCAGTACGTTTATTATTATAAAAAAAAATGTTTTAAAAATATTAAATATTTCTCTTTTATTTTTCACAGTCGCGGCGACTAATTGTACAGTGTTTGGCAACAACTACCTGGTGATTGCAAATACCCAATGCAAGCAGTTTGTCCAAGGCCCGCCAGGTGTCCCCACAACCAAGACGTGCATACCCGGCAGCGCATTCGACCCACTGAGGTGCGGCTGCGTACGTGAAGGCACATTTCCTTGTCCTAATTAGAATCATAAAACCAAATACCGCACACCTGATTCAAAATCCTTCAATACTGCGCATGTGAGGATGAATTATAAGTTTGTATCTAAGAAAAATGATACAAACGATGATAAAAGAAAATAGGCCCTAAATAAAATTAAATGATCTCTACACTAGTAAATGATATTCCCCCTGTACCGGTATTTATTTATTTCACGCTACCTATACTATGTACACTAATGTTTGGCCTGTGGAAAACATATCCTATATTTTTTTATAAATTGAATGCAAAATGACACTCTGTGTCTTTCTAACTTCAAGGGCACGAAGTTCTCGCTTGACGTCATTCTATTTGGCTTTAGGCCTTCATTGTTTTAACCATTGGTACCATACCAAAACCCTATATAAAGGTGCATTTCGCAAGCTGACAAGTCTAAAATATTCAGAAAAATAAAACTGAATCAATTCTAAATTGTATTCAGTCTTTTTAAACATATGTGATCAGTTGATCTATGTGAGTCTTTAGTGAAATCAGTCTTAGAAGACATTTCCTGAATGTCATAAAATACTCTGTGGAAAGTATTTCCTTAACTTGTTTACTGTTTTGAGCTTAATGGAGACACGTAGAATTTCGTGGAATAAACACACCTTTGTTTAACATGACACGTGTCTTCCTGTTTATTATTCATACAGCATCCAAATAACATTAAGGGGTGAAATCTTTTTTCAAACCAATAACTTGTGTTGTGGACAAGCTAGTAACAACTAAAACACAAACTTAACCTTAGCGTCAAAAGACAAAGATGGGAAGAATAAAAGCAAACTATAAATTTATCCCAAAAATATGAATCGTTGAGAAAAATTTAATCTGTTGCCAAATTATTTTTCTTTCTTTAAGGTGAATTTACGAAGTAACAACAGAGGGGCAATGGGAAATGAAAATAGCTGTTACTAAAGCAGCAGTGTATGTGATTTTGTTGTCTTAATTCTACTTTTCATCTTTCGCATTTCCCGTGCAATTTTATCCGAAAGAAGGTGTTGATACGGATTTTATTTAAGACAGAAATACAGAGAATAAAAGGCATACATACAATCATTATCCGGTTGCTAGTCTCGCATTTTTAAGAACCGGTGTTTAAAAAAATGTATTCCAGCGCAGTATCGGAACTAAAAGGCGGGTATCTGTTCGAGCAAATTGTTGTTTTCTAAATAAAGCCAACATAGGTTTTTTTTTCTTATAGTCCATGATACGTCTTTTAAATAAAACGTACAATATAATCTCTTTAATTCAAATTGCAATGCATGTACCAAACTAATTAATGCAACAAAACAATTTGAACAAAGCAGTAAAAAATCAGAAAAATAGGCACTATTGTATCAGTTGTATCCAGGGGGATGTTGCTAAATTTGGGAAACCGTGATTCAGTCAAATAATTTATGATATACAAAATAAGACTATGTGACTAGCCTGCAAATATACAAGGTTGTATAAGGCTTCCGTCACTCCTGCTCCGGACCAGACTGGTTTAGTGTGTGCACGTGACGACTGGAAAATTTACCGTTCATAATTTGTATATATATGCAATCCAACTCTCGATCAAAGTCGAGACTGGGAGTGGGGGAATGTGACCCTCTGTCCACCACCAGGGCCCCGTATCTCGAAAGCATCGGGTATTGCGAATCGCTATATCAAATAGAGGCTTCAATGTATTATATGGGACGAGTAAGGACGAGTTATGGAACAGAGACTCTTGCGAACGTGCGCAACATAGCGAAGCTTTCGAGATACGGGGCCCAGGATCTGCCAGTGATAAACGTTCATGTTCTACCCAATCACTCTTGGTGCAATGCTAAGATAAGATTTGTTAGTCCCAACTGACGATTATATCCTAAGTTGAATTCCTCCTCAGTTGCGATCACTAGGTCACGTTTACAAGAGAGCAGAGCAACTGGTAACATTGCCCCCCCCCTCTCTCTCTCTCTTTCTCTCTCTCCCCGTGCCAATCATATAAACACGTTTATTATACGAGTTATTCAAAATTGTCTCCACCCACGGTGTATCCACCAAGGTGATACCAGGCGAGTACCAGTATGTCAGAAAAAAAAAACGATGTGCAAGTTACGAGTTAATACAACTATTCAGTGTATTATTTATCATTTTAAATGCAAAATCTTCGTGAGCTTCTGTCTGTTAAATTTATGTATTTCCTGGTGTTGCGCTGCTGGAAAGACATAAAAATGCGCCACAAGTAGAACAGATTCATTCGTCGACGACAGAAGACGGTTTAAGCCTCTGAGGATACTGATGATGGCACGTGTATTTCTGTTAGCAGTGGTGTTAGTGGTGCAGATTGTAGACTACACAGGTAAGGTGCAACGCACACGTTTTAACTAAGCGACGAGTTACCAAACAAGACGGTGCATCGTTTTTATGTCTTGTTCACTGAACTTTTTAAAAAATTTTTTAATTATTTTTTTTTTTTAGAATGAGAGAGAAAGATGTCTGTAAAAATGAGAGGCCTAACTGTCTGTCGACGCATGGATAAAAGTAAAACACTACACGCAATATTGTATTTTTCCAGTTGCGCAAAAAAGTTCCTGCGAGGAATTGGGAACAGTTTTCTACCCGGTGCCTGCCACACGGTGCGAGGAGTTCTCCCAGGAAGCAAAGTTCGGTGCCCCTAGTCAGTACAGAATAAAGAAATGCAAACCGGATCTTGCCTTTGACGTCCACGAGTGCGCTTGCAACTGGAAGTATGCATTCACCTGCCCAAACAGTGAGTGATTCGAATTAAAAAAAAAATAAACAGAAAAAAACTTTTTCTGACAATTCATTTTTTTCTTTAATTTCTTATGCAACTGGTATTTTTCAACAATATTCTTTATCATGGTGATCACGTCGCTTTTTTAGTTAATATAATGCTTATAATAATATTAATGACATGGCGTTTTGCTCCTCTTCTCTTAAAAAAAATGTACGTTGCAATTTGATTCCTTGGCTAGCAAACACTTCATTAACCTTATTTTCGATAATCCAGTGCAGATCTCTTTTAGAATAACAAAGATAAAAAATCTGGCAAATGTACAGACCTGTATTTGTACAATTCTGTTTAACACAATTTACATATACAAACACATTACGAGTAGGCCTATAGCCAAAAACCTGGAATATCAGAATTACCCTAACCAAATTGATGCATAGATAACATACTCGTGGTTAAAGCGCTATAGATATTTTAACACAAATTCCCAATAAGGCCAAGGATATGAATAACATTACGTTCACTTAAGATATTATTCTTCTTGTATTTCAGCCCTCAATTACCCAGAAACACCCAAGTTTATAGCGTGCATGGCGGATTGTATGTACAAAACAAGCCAAGAAATTCAGGACATCTTCAGCCAATGTGGTACCAATTTCGGATGCTGGGATAGCAGAGGGGGAGGGAGATGTCATTCTCGTTGTAACATAGAACCAGAGGAACCAGGTGCGTACAGGGTGGATATCCGCTTATCTAGCTTGTTAGTTTATATACTCGGTCTCACCCTCTCACCACTCTACATTTTCTAACTCTACACCTCGATCCCCTCTCCCATCTCTCTCTCTCCCTGTCTCAAAACATGATTACAATTTATGGCGGCTGATCCAGGATTGTTCTAGGGGAGGGTGGCAGAAAAGTCTGGGTGGGAAATGAAAAATTTAAAGGGAGAGACAGGTGAAGGACCTACTTGTAGTCACCCAATGGTTATCGTATAGAGACAACAAGTGCAGAACTCTGGTAAAATGACATATGCATACATTGTACGACCGCATATATTGTAAAGACTTAAGCCCGCATTGTGCCAAAGTGCACAGGCATGAGCCAGGAATTTTGAAAAAAAAATAAATAAATAAAATAAATCAATCACTATTTGTTATGGGGCCAACAGAATTTGGTCGGGGGTCTGGGGGACGCATTTGGAACTGAAATAATTATTCATGGAAAAAGCACATGCCTGAGAGTACAACGGAAATATAACATTTACAGTGTATTATATGTTGTCTTTTCTTGATTATTTCAGTCACAGGCCTAAACGAGCACTAGTTTTTCCACAGCCCACCAGATGTCTTCGAAATCAAGATAAGCCTTCCTAGCAACAGCTTTCAAACCCTCTTGCGTGCCTGTGCATGAAAACTGCATACCACCACGTTTCAGTTGGAAAAAGAAAGAACTATACACTTCTCTTCTGAACTGAATGGATTGTAGAAAAAAAAACTTATCCTGACTGACTCTACTTTTCAGCTATTTTCAAAAATTCAAAAATTTGCACAAAAAATAAATGATCAAATTTCTTGATTTTCTTGTTTTATCTATTATTGAAACATGTACTTTGTGGTACTCCTCAAGACAACAAAGCCATGCATATCACTAATGAATAAATATCGACTGAGCAAAAAAAATAAATAAAAATAGAAAATAAATAAATAAATAAAAACATTTTTGAATATAAAATCTCATGATTCAGAAATAGTTAATATAGCTCGAGATATTCAAATTTTCAAAACTTAAGACTAGGATTAGTGAATGGTTTGCTAAAGCTATTTAACAGGAAGTATTAAAACAGGTACAGACTAAAACAAGTTGAATTTTTTAAAATAAAAATGACACAATGTCATGTTCTTCATAAACATAGTACAGTACCCAGAGCTTCACTGCATTCTTCAGCATTGTCAAGCGTTAGATTTGTAGTAGTGCTCTGCCATTTAATATCAATGGTGTATTATTTGGCTCCTCTTCCCTCAGAGTTAGTTACACCTTCCTCCTTGTCATGAATGAATTTATAAAAATGCCACAGATCACATCAATATGATTGATCAGTTAGATCACCGTCTTGTGGCAGAAGACTTTTTCTGCTTTGTCTCTTAAATGAAAATCTGATGAAATCCACTTCTATATCAACAGATTTCTTTTTGTGGTTCTTGTAACACAGTGGCAGATCGTATACCAGTTTAGCTACCACCTTCATCGTCACGCCCCAATCCTCTGCCTTCTTCTCAATGTGCTGAAAAAAGTCAAACAGATTCTCATAAAACATTATTTTATGCAAGTGAGAGAGAGAGAGAGAGACAAAAAGAGCTAGATGAAGGCAAATTTTAGAGTTTCAAATTTATCTTTGATGTGCCCTTGCTTGGTTAACACACCTTTAGATGTCACTGTGCCTTTCTGAAGCCAATACATGAGCACAACAGATGAATGATTCAAGTTAATCATATATTATAGATATCCATGTGTTTCTACTTACTTAACAATACCAGATCCAGATGCATCAAAGCACAGGCATGCCTACCCCCCCCCCCCCCAAACCTTCAAAACCTTTACTTGTCATCCTCAAAGAAATACATTAAGAAGTAATGGTTAAAATATGTGTATAAGCAAGCACAAACAGACAAAAACAATAATTTTTGTCTGTCTTTAATTCTACATGAGATAATACATGTCATTCATTTTACATTGTAAAGCTTGGTACAAAAAGGTGCTTTAAGTAAATCTTACCTCACGTGTTGAAGTTTTGTGCAAAGAGTAAACAGCATCTGTAGCAAGAGAAAGACCTGTCTTCAAAAACAGCATGTCAACACCTAAAAATACATTAATAACACAAAATAAAAATAACAAATTTACTGAAGTTACACTTTTTGTAAGCCTCAGTATAAAATATATCAGAGTAATAAACATCCAGGACCCCGTATCATGAAAGCATCGTGCATTGCAACCGTGCGCAAGCATCTCGCTTCCGTAACTCACCCATACTCGCCCCATTTAATACATTGTAGCTTCTATGTGATATCGCTATTTGCTTTTGAAATACGGGGCCCAGGGTAATAGTATTTACTTGTTTATAAAGTCATGTCTTTACAACAAATATGTGTGTGTTGTGGGTAGGGGGGGTTTGGTTAGAGATAGAGGCTTGGAGATTGTTAGATTTAGCATTGTATTCAATGACATTTGTTTTTGTACTTGTTTGTGTGTGTATGTGTGCGAATTGTTACATACCTTCATTGTTGGTACCAAATGGTGGATTCATAATAACCACATCAAACCGCTTGCTCCACCTGGCGTCAGTCAATAATTGAGGCACATCGCACTGCACCAAGTCAACGTTAGTGATCTTCATGTCATCAAGATTCTGCAAACATGTCTGCAATGCATCTTCATCAATATCAAAGCCAACACAGTATCTGAAAAAAAAAAAGCATATATAAAAGTACTTAATATATTGCATAGCCAATTACCAGAGTGAACTTTTGAAATATGTATTTCTCATAATGCAAGAGCAGCAAAAAGTATTATTAGTAAATATATTCAAAATTCAATCGCTATTTTTATTTTAGTATTATATGAGATCTACTCTTCTATACTGAAAGCAGATCAATTAGTTTGGAGAGCCACACATTAATAATCAGTTAATTCAGAGCCGTATATAATATAATATAATATAATATAATATAATATAATATAATATAATATAATATAGGTAGGAAGTTACCTGAGTTTTATATATATATTTTTTATTCATTAATTTTTAGAAAAGGATTCATAGCTTTGTGACATTACTTTGCAACATGATGTAGACAATCTGACTTTGGGAAATTTCCAAACACATACAGTGTACCTTTAATTAAGGTTGTCCCTTTAAAATGTCCAGTTCTCAGTGAGCCTTAAATAATATTCAGACATACCCACATTTCATGAGTGCACTCCCAATACTCAGAACACCACAGCCACACCCCAGGTCAGCTATACACTTCCCTGTTATATCCCCATAGGTTGACTCAATGGTGAAAAGCATAGAGGCTGAAATCAGATATTCAAGCATTACTTTGAATAACACAAAGTTATCTTTCTCTGTCATTCTTTGCTAGTGGTTACAAAATGTTGAATTTGACCGAATATTTCAAACTTTCTCTGGGAAGCTGTAATTTTGCAATGTGAAAGCTACACTATCACAGTTTATTATTTCATAAAAAGGGAAACAGCAGATGCCCTTATCAAGGCACAAAGGAGGCTTGAACAGCTATACCCACCAAATCCAAGACGTGGTACACTGGGAGATATATTTGGCACAAACTAATGAAAGTCTAATGGAATGTTTTCAGTTTTAGTTTAAATCATAAGGGGGTGTTGTCTCAATGCTTTAAACTGGTTCTGAAGAATTCAATACACATTTCATAATTAATAAAAATGGTGAATATGTGGGACACGGTAATGTTAGTGACTTGGGAACAAACAATTTATAGTTTTGTAAATAATAACAATATTTTTGCTATTATCCACACACACTTCAATCATGAGGGGAACACCACTCTCACATGCACCACTCTTGATTTCTCCTCAACTTGCCCATTATTAGTGAAAATGATTGGAATTGACAAACAGAGGAATAATGCACATATTTTGTTTACTGTAACTCTGTTACATGGGACACACACTGAACAAAGTTGATCGAAAGAATGTTCCAGATTGTAGTTTTTTCAGAATTATTATTATTTTTTATTATTTCAACACAATAAAGTCCAGTTAAATATAAAATTTAACAAAATGAAGCTCAGTTTGACACAAAGTTCAGTATCATAACATTCTTTCTGACATGTTGACCACTGGTGATATCTGCGCATCTACTCTTGGGATTCTAAAAAAAATCAAACAAGGAATTTGTTTACTCTGATAAAGAAGAATGGGAAACCTGACATTACAAATAGTTCATTGCTTGTAAATTCAAACAAAGTACAGTGCATTATGAGTGGCAAACACTAATTACTTCTCCAATTTCGAGAAATCCATTATTGCCGTTTTTTACAGACGGTTAACTTCTAAACCGACTATATACAATGTAGTGCAGCATCTTAATTTAGAACAAAACTAAAAAATGTCATTCAATATCAATGACTGATTTTTTCGAGAACAAGAGAACAATGTGACACAGACGAAAAATGAAAGTTCAGACAAAGTCACCCTCCTAATTGAATGGTAAGAATCAATCAATACACATAAAAATCTAGAGGTCTATGTTGAAAAAAAATTAAACAAATTTTAGTATTGCTCACCTTCATTAAAAGAAGATCTCTATAAACAGTCCCGTGGCGGTTAAATCGAGGGAATTACATGTGTGCCCTGCATCAGATTTCCAGAGTATCACTGCATTACATCTTATTAGAATGGGGCACATGCCACTTTGAGCTGGCTTTTAAGTGTGCAAAAGAAGCCATTTGTGTGTGAGACGTCATCAATTAGTGGGTATGGAAGCAGATATATATCGCAGGCCTCAACACAAATTTTTTAACCAGGTTGTCCTAGGGCAACCTGCCAGATATTTTTACTTGCCCTTCCTCTGCCTCAACTTGCCCATTATTAGTGAAAATGTTTTAAACCACTTGATATGCAATTTTTTTTTCATTTGAAGCATTAAATTTTATTGATTTATAAAAAAATCAATTGTGTCAATTTTGTCATCTTTGAGTTGTTTATTTTCTCCATGAGCAAGTTGATTGATGGAATGAGCGACATTTTAGAGTCGTCTGATAAAAATCAATCTTTGAAGTTTCAGCATTACTAACAATACAAGGGACACAGTGAGGAAAAATCGACCCTGTAAAGCATGAAATGTGAAATTCTTAAGAAAACTGATATTAGCATGAACTTCGTGACACAAACTAACTGGCAGACTACTTTGCATGCAATGAAGAGTCTTAATACAGAAAGGTAGGATTAGATGAAGTTTTCATTGGGTTGGGACACGGCATGTAACTTGAGATGTATACAGTAATTTTGTGATAATTTTCAAATGACTTCAAATAAATTTAAATAACCATTTGCACATTCTGTTTATTATATCTTCTTGCAGTAGGTGTGTTTTCTGCTTCAATAATAAATTCAAACCCTAAACAAACTGTTCGTAAAAAGAGGTAGGGCCAGAATTCCACAAAAATGGATGCCATTTTGATGGTAATTTCGATATATTTTCTGCATGTTCTCTTTTAACTTTTATAACAGCACGTACCCTCCTAGCTCATGCAGCTTCTTTGATTTGTCATTGAGACATACATAACAATGTCATGAGAATTTGGTTGGCCATCTAAATTTAAATTACATTCTTGTAATGCCCCCTCCCCCGCAGTGCACCACTAGCACAGAATGACAGTTATAAAATATTACATTAATAATAATTAGAATAATATTTATTGCACTGGGTACAATTTAGTAACAACTCTCATATCAACAATTAAAGTGACTTATTAAAAGTAGTCTGTGTAGTACAAGAGTGTGATTTAAAAGGTATACATAAAACATTATAAACGATGGTACTGTAAATATACCCAATCTGAGGAATCTGAGAGAGAGAGAGAGAGAGAGAGAGAGAGAGAGAGAGAGAGAGAGAGAGAGAGAGAGAGAGAGATTTACCTGCAATTTCAGGGCAAGTAGGGTATTGTTCCAATCGTAACTTGGGATTCTGAAACACATCGACATCGCCAAGGATGCTCTCCAGCTTTTTTCTCTTCATTTGAAACATCTTCGTTTTCAGTCATTCATGAAGTTTACATTCACGGTCCCATTGTTTCTTTCTCCGCTGTTTCTCTCCCACAACTTCAGTTATTCCCTGTTACACAACTTCAGTTATTTCCTGTCACTCTTGAAACGGGGCGTAAACGAATATAAACATGAACCCCGCATATCAGTGCTTGTGCTCTATGTGGTGTTGTCGGTGTGGTGTCTCAAGGGGGCTGCCATGTTGCTTCTCGTGATCTCGCGGATTTTCCCGCTTGCAACTTATCAAATTAAGGTTATATCATGATATGAATCATTCAGCGAATCATTACATTGTGAAGTAATTAACAAAGTTATTACTCTAATTCAAGCGATACTTTTCGGTAAATGTTGCCTATATAACATGAAACTTTGTAAATTTCAGGAAAATTTATATTTTCTTGTAAAGCGCCCTCTAGGACAGAAATAGAAAATATCAAAACATGTCTGCGCCCATGGAGGAGGAGGTGTTTTAGTAAAGCCTAACAAATATCTAGAGTAAGTATTGCATTTGATACTATTTACACATTTCTACATTCATGCTCACGTGATTTTGCTTGGAGTGGCTGAAATGATTGGGGAGGAACTGTACGCTTGCGCGTGTGTTTGTGAATGCATGGTTGTTGGAGTACTGTAGAGTATGAGATGCAGGAAGGAGGGGGGGGAGGGCGGGGTCTCCATCGCTATCTTCATGTGCTTTGTTTTTATAGACCAGCAAACCACCGCTAAATACTGTTATTGAAGAACGATTTGTATTGTGATCAATGTTAAAGCCAAATATGAATAACTAGGTAAACGGTAGCTGAGACTCTTAAAGTTACTACATTTACTTGTAGGTGTGGCCAGAGTTAATTTTCTTTAAAAACATTTTAATGAAATATAAAAAAGGATAAAAATTCCAGAATCCATGCTACTAGCAAAACGGGCTTAACTTGCTGTGCATGATGTCAAGTGCAAACCATCTTGCACAGTTTCCTCTTGCCAAATAGTACTTAATTAAAATACATGTATATTGCACATTTATAAATACATTTTTTCTCTTTTTCAGTTTTACCGAACACTTAACATGCTAGTACAATAAAAAGGCAATCTACTTATGGCAGCAGTGAGGCGCTTTCTCTTTTCATCTACAACAGTGACTTTTGTCTTGGCATCCTTGATTGGAGCTCTGTGTGCCTTCATATTCTTGAAATATGACAGCCTAACCCAAGCCTCAGCTTCTATAAAGAAACAGAAGCTGCCACACACAACACTGTATAAACATTGGTTGAAGAACAGAGGACTTTTTCAGGTTCATGATTTCAAGGTGGAGGAAAAGGATCTTGCTAAGGTGTGTTTTGTAAGCAATTCTTTACACTAACCTTAAATTAGTCTACACATGTATGTACAGGTACAATGTGTGCCACACTGTGGTAACTTGCCTGCATTCTGTATTATTGGAAAACGAGATTTGCTTCAGGTGACAAAAATTTTGATGAATTTTTAGTGTAGAATAAATTGAAGGGCAGTTGGAATTCTGCCTTTTTTTCTTTTTTTTTCATCTCCTAAGGGAGGATACAGTGTTTAAGTTGATGACTCTTTAAAGGCAATATGGATCATTATTATTATAGTTACTGTATGGGTTTCAACATATTCCTCCCGAAGCTGAAGGAAATCTTCATATCTAGATCAGCCCCACCCCCTGCCCTTGAAAACACATTCTGGTTTGTTCTTCTTGTACTAGCTACTTAAAACCAAAAATTCTGTACTAGTATCTTACTTTTGCAGACATTAAAGCTGGAAAAAGAAGACAAATACTTGTACGATACCACTCCCATCCTCTGCTGGATATTATGCACAGAAGAATGTATCTTGGACAAAAAAGTCAAAGCTCTCTGGGAAACCTGGGGAAAACGCTGCAACAAACTGCTCGTCTTCAAACACAAAAATACTCCTCTAGAGCACAAAGATGTGCCCGTCATCGATCTCAAGCACAAAGTTGACACCTGGAACGCCATGGAAGAGACACTTCAACACCTGCACGTGTTCTACAGAGACAAATATGACTGGTTTTACAGGGCCGAGGAAGACACTTTCACTGTTGTGGAGAATCTGCGTTATTTTGTATCTGTGTACAATGCCACAAGTCCCCATTATTTCGGCCACGTGTATAAAGAATGGCGGAGTTTATATAACTTGGGTCAGGCTGGCTTTGTGATCAGTAGAGGTGCGTTAGATATCCTGTATCAGGGCATAGAGAAAGACCAGTTGTGCCCCTACTCAGGCACGGCTGACATCATGCTAGCAAGGTAATTCTTTAAAATATTCATTATTTGGTAAATGACTGTAAATTGCTTTTTGCATTGAGTATTCTGTGCTGTGTCCATCTTCAGTGTTTTGATTAGCTGCTTTTTGGATAGAAATTTTAATGACATGAGCTGCTCTAGTCACCTATGATAATAGTTATATAATTTTTTTCTTCAGAAAACGGGTCATTGATAGGAGGCTAAAATAATTTGTGACATTCAATTAAAAATATCTACATACATTTTGGAAATGCAATAATTGCATGGCTCTGTTGAACATTACCAAAAGAAAAAAAATTACCTTATCCAAAAGGGTTTTCTAGTTTTGCTGCATGGGCATACAAGTACATGTACCAGGTTATAAGTGAACAAAAATGTGAGCAATATAACTGAATTGATTGCATATGTTTTTCAGCTTGATACTGGTGCATTATACATTGGGAAGTTATCAAAATAAAAGTTATCATCAGTTTTATCAGTATGATACAATGTTTTAAATAATATTTTAAAAAATGAAATTATCTCAAACCAAAAGCAAACAGTTTTTATCAAATCTATGCATTTATTATACAGGATGATCATATCTCTTAACAAAAGCTTACATTTTGGACATCTTTCACAGCTACTTGTGATACGTGTAATGGGGAACTTCTTTTTGTACCTCAGTCAATGAATTGGAAGCATCTTGGGGATTTACAGTCATTTACAGTCATTTACCAAATACGTCTTAATATATACAAATATATTAAATAAGAACTTTCCTGTTCAAGGTGTCTGAAGCAATACCATGTGATCCCAGGGGATACAGTTGACACCCTGGGGCGGGCAAGATTCCTAGTCTACACCCCTGAAGAACACCTCATTCCGGGTCATATTAACTGGAACAACGCCTACTGGTACAAAAGTCAACATATTAGTAAAAATGTAAGTACTAGTATAATGTAAATACTCTTGTTTTACATGATACACTCAATGTTTTGGAAATCAGCATGCTAGTAATCATAAAACCTTTGAAATTATTGGTTTTTGCATTTACTGGTAGATTTAAATAGTTTAGCAGTATTGGAATATATCTAATAGAATAAAAAGCAGTGTGTGCCTATCACATCTGTATTAATTAGCCTAATAATTTTTTGCTAACTGAATTGCAAGGGAATATGAACCATGTTAAACTTCATAACATTTCTTTTTACAATTATTGTATAAAATTTGAAAAGTCAGTTTTTTTTTTATTATCAAATTTCATCAACTTTTTATGGATTGTGCTTGCATTTCTCTGTGCAAATGGTTATTATTAGTATTATTGTTGTTGTTATTATTATTATTATGTTGCTGTTGTTGTTGTTGTTAATTGTTGATATCAGGAAGGTGTGTTTGGTTTAATGTGAAATACAGACAGTTAATCTACCATTATATAATGTACATACCTGTATATATTCCATTACCCTGAGATTCTGATATTATTGTTCAATCTTAAGTAGTAAAAAAGATTTAATGCCTAGTACATACTGGTTTGAAACTACCTTGTAATAATGGTCTTCACTCTTCGGCTAGTTAGTCAACCTACTTATTCTGTGGACTTCTACTGGAATTAAGATGACTTTTTTGAGGTAACAGAATTAAAGTTTTACCACTCAGCATGATAGTTTGTCTATGTTCCCTTACCAACAATAAAGGCTTTCAGTTGCGGGAGTACTCTGGCAACATTTTACGTTCTGTAAGGGTTGTAACCTAGACTGGCACCCATATTCCCATTTATACACTGTACATGTACAAAGATTTCCTTCCCTTTTGATCAACAATTTGAAACAATAAATAAATAAATAAATAAATAAATAAATAAATAAATAAATAGAATTACATTTTAAAAGCCGCACACATATAGACTTTACGTTCAGACCTTTGTGCCATAAAAATGTTATAATTTTAGTCTATCTTTATTTATAAATTATTCATGAATGCATTGTAATAACACAGTCCAGTATCACGTGAATTAATACAGTTATGTAAATGTATGAAAATTGACAGAGGTTTAGTTGAATCACATTGAGAGTTATTACAAGCTTCACATCTCTGCATATATGTATTATAGATTTTAACTGTGTGGTAAGTGTCATATTTATTGAAAAGTTGTGAGTTACCGATTGTTCTCGTCTTGGATATATCGCACTACGTCAAGCGTAACTGTCCACCGATACAACAGCATGTTGAAATGGAGTGGCCGTATTTCTGTGTCATTTACGGTGGGCATTTTCTTCGGTTTTGTGGCCACCTACTGGTCTATGTCCTCCGACAGGGCTCATGACAAGAAAACATGGATTAAGTCGTCGAAATTTGTCCCGGACGACCCTTTCAGCCATCAAGAGCCGGTGGGAGACGATGCGGGACCGAGAGACCCCGTTAAGTGGCACGACGAAGAAATGCACGACTCCGGTAAGTAATGCTACGGGTCACGACATTCAAATTGAACTACGTGTCAGGTATTGAAGAGGCACAAAATATGCTACTGAGGGATGTGTAGTCCTGCAATTCCTAGATATCAATGAAAGGGGCTTCTGTTGGTAGCCACCTCTCCCGTTTCTCAATTATTTGTAACGTCTTCCTTGTTACATAGCACTACAAGAAAGTTTTTATCACTGTCAGACGTTAATGCATTAACTAAAGCAAAAACCAGAATTAATATTCAAAGATGCCCTTTATCACAGTAAGATTTCGATTCTTGGCAATGTTCATAAACTGCCACATGCAAAGTATATAAATGTGTGTAACTGGGGGCAGAACACGCAATAAGATATAGTCAATTTTCATAACTTACAGGTCTATGCCCCTGCTTCCCATTTAATGCCAGTGGGTCACATATCTCACAATTCATATTAAATTATTGCAAGCTTTAAGACTGAATTATTTAAGCCTCAGATAATGACCAATTACATGCATTTAGACAGACATATTCTCTATATAATTAAGATATAAATCAGTATCACTACAAATTTCTTTGGTGCAGCATTGCCTTATAATTTCTTAGCAGCCCTACAAAAATCTTATCTAGCTACTAGTATAGTAGGCCCTTCTTTGTAAAATATTCATGCAACTGTCCTTTGAGAGCACTTGTAATGTTGATAGTGAGTGAGTTTACACTGAACACGTATTCAAAGCCTGAACAAACACTGCCACATTTATAGCCCCACAATCAGCCTATGCAAACACAAGGTGGCTGTATCTCTTTCTGTTGAAAACACGACTTGCGGATTTATGACTCAAACATTTTTGTATCACCCTGGTATTTAAGATGTGTAGTAACTGTTTGTGCAGTAAGTCCTCTGAATCGTGGTGAATAAATGGTTCTTTGATGTAGTTATGTTTTGTAGGTGTCACATGATTTTAAGTATAGGGTTGAATTAAAAGACTTAGCATGGCTTAATGTACTGCAATTTATCGAAATTACTTTGAAAATTTAATACTAGTACTATATTTAACAGGTCTAAATAAATTTATTCAAGAAATAGCCTCTATGTCAAGCACTGGGTTAATTGTGTCTGTCTAAACATTTAACACCTTTATCAAATCACTTAATCATGAACTCATTTAAAAATACAAGGCATTATTATAAATATTTTTGTCAAAAAATAATGGAAGTGTACATAAACAATAATGTTGCACCCTTCTTGCTTTCACTGATATAAAAATGTTGAGTGGTGCCCTCTACAGGAGGCACCAATGACGGCGCATTCCCCATCCCCAAGATGCTCCCAATCCCAGGATTCATAATGTGTTTTGTTTGATTTTAGACCCAGACTCGCCCGCCAGGAAACTTTACAATGAGGTGAAAGTCCTATGCTGGGTGATGACATCCCCAGATAACTTTGAGTCGAAGGCGCAGCATGTCAAGGCCACGTGGGGCAAGCGGTGCAATAAACTCCTCTTCATGAGCTCCAAGGCTGACCTCCTCCTTCCCGTCATCAAACTCCCAGTGGGAGAAGGAAGGTCGAATTTGTGGCGAAAAACTCGTGAGGCTTTCAAGTATGTCTATGAGCACCACTTCAAAGACTTTGACTGGTTTTTCAAGGTGGACGATGACACTTTTGTTGTGATGGAAAACTTACGCTTGTTGTTGAAACGTTTCGTCCCAGACAAGCCTTATTACATAGGCAGGCGGTTCAAGCCTTATATTGATCAGGGTTACATGAGTGGTGGTGCCGGGTACGTCTTAAGCAAGGCCGCCCTGGAGCTCTTTGTGGTCAAGGGACTGGACGACACGTCTAAATGTCCAGGTGGGACTGGACCAGAAGACCTCAACATGGGAGTTTGCATGGAGAAACTTGGGGTGATGGCGTTGGACAGCAGGGACAAGTTGGGTCGGGAAACGTTCCATCCATTTCAACCAGAACATGTGCTGATACCTAATTATATTCCAAGAGGCAACTGGATATTTACCTATTCTTATTATCCTTATAAAGAGGTTTGTTGTTTTATATATGGACAGTGAATGTGGAGCTAGATTTGTGTAATATGTTTATGAAGAATTTAGATTTTTATTTTCCAAAAAGTTAATAACCATTACTATTGGTAGCATGATTTATCTTCCTGTCTTTTTATAGATATGAAAGAAATTGAAGGAAGTTAAAGATACACATTAAATATCATGGGTAAAACAGATTTTCTCTTTCTCTTCTAAAGAGATGAACTTCTTACCATTATTATGCCCACCCTTCAAAGAAGTGGGGATATGTTGCTTTGCACATTTTATTCAGTCTGACAGGTAATCTGTAACAAGAAATTGTCTGACAAATAAACAAAGAACAAATTGGTCTACTGTCCTCATATTTGGGAGAGAGGTTTGTCATCACATGTAGATGACCACTGAGTAAATTGATTTTGAGATCAGTATGTTTAAGGTATAAGTCACATTGACCTACAACAGAAAAATCTTGTCTGACCAATAAATACATAACAATTTGTCCTGCCAGGGAAACATCTGTGTGTGACAAACACCTCTTGTCATGCACTTGCTGTTTATTTGCACTATCAAACCATCATTAACATTACTAATGTAATGAAAAGATGCAAATTCACCGCATAACAGCTCATTCCAAATACTAACATTTAGTTATAAAATTACCACAGGACAGACAATAAATATTTAGGGTATTTTATTGTCTGCCCCATGGCAAGTCTAGTCATTTCTTCCTCTTGTCTACGTGTCCAACAGGGCTTCAAGCCTCTGGCATTCTTAAGGGGTCTTAGTGCAAGTAGGTGATTATACAGAGACAGTGAACTTTGAATTTTATTGTCAGCTTCCTCAATGACCATACAGAGGAAATGCTATGAATATTTCATTTAAAAGTTAGATGTTCATTGCATAGTAAAATAAGGTACTATAGGACTGAAACAATTTTCTAAGCACGCACACATCCTGAAAGTATTTACCGATTGTTGGGGTGGATGTTGGTGGAAAAAAATGAAAAATGTTCAGTTTTTGTTGCTGCAAATGGCTGTCTGTTACAGGTAGATTGCTAAAATTGTATATGTGTTACATGTTTCATTTGGGTTATATAGAACTGAACTAATATTACATTATCATTTAGTTTACTTGTACATTCCCTTCCTTGTCAAATAAGAGGAAATAAATCCAGTCCCATTGCATATTATAACAACTCCAGCCTTACACTGTCACTGGGGGGAATGGGGGGGGGGGCCTTTAGTTCAAACTTACCAGTAAACATTTATTGTTAAATTTCATTGACTGAATGCAGCCTGGTTCTCTGCCTCTTACAAAGGAGAGGGAAGAGGTTTTCTCCTGTCCTGCTTATAATTAGCTTCAGGTCTTTGGTGTATTTATAGATAGATAGCATGTGGGCTTATTAGTGGTGAATATTTTTAGCTCATTGCATGTAAAACATCCATTAATAGAGACTTAAGAGAGATTATGTATGAAATGTCTGTTATTGGTGAATTCAGTCAGATTGTGGGTGTAAGGTCCATGAATAATGACTGAGCCCTTAAATGACTGAATATACACTTCATATTTGTTTTGTACACAGGCATTTAATGTATTGAGTATGAATTAGTAATATTATATGGACATTTTATATATTACCATATTATATGCACATTATTCTAAACATTTTGAAAATTTAAAAGTCAGCTGGAAAATTGTTTTAAATATATATGGTGTTTTTCTTTTCTGTTTTAGATATTGCTCAGTTATGCTGCCAACAAGTCACATCCCCTCAGAAGAAAAATATCATTTTATTACATTTGTTCTCAAATTTTTAGTATCAGTCTGTAACATATTAATTTTTGTGGTTCTTTTCCCACAGGGTCCAGAGTGTTGCAGTGACTACGCCATCTCATTTCACTATATCTCTCCCAATATGATGTATGTGATGGAATACTTGATCTACCATTTAAGACCACATGGTGTCAGCACCAAGCTGGTCCTCCCACAGGAAGGACACACAGACAGACTCACACAGCAGGGGGTCCAAGACAAGCCATCAGTGGTTGATGGAAAATCTGAACAGGATTTAGACAAAGGCGCTTTAGACAAAAAGACAGACTCTCAAAGTGCTAGTGATAAAGCAAGAGAGGATGTAGAAGATAAACAGGATAACAGGTTGAAGAAAGAAGAAAATCAACAGGGTGAAATAAAGTTTAAAAATGCAGGCGACTCACATACATTGGGCAAAAATTCTCCTGAGAAACTAGTGAAAATTGTGTCAAAATCTGTAAATCAACATGGCAGTTAGTAGCTTTAGGTGGCAGCTTGATGGACCATTTTATAGAGTAGGGTGGGTGGTGAAATTTCCTAGACATCTCCTTACCATCCCTACTGTACACTCATACTACATACACAAACACACACAAAGACTAAAACATGGAAGCACATGTAAAAGTCAAACACACATGCATGCTTATACATGTGAGCCAACATGTGAATCCCCATGTTTGAACCACTCATATTTACCTTGTAGTATCTTCATGCTGGTGTCAGTTTACAGCCCAGTAATTTATTGTTTTAAAGTGGTGAATGATGTTGAATTAGGCATTGCATTTTTGGTCTACCTTGTTATGGTCTTGACACAATGTTCCCAAAGATGGAAAAATACACTGTCACCATTGTTACAGTTAGGTGGAATTCACATGCCTTTAGTTAGCAACCAGCAAGTTGGGTAATGCCATAAAATATATCATCTCACAAAGCATGACACGTTTAACATAGAAGTCAGTGTAATCCACCATAGTTGTTCAGTACTGTCACTCCAACTCCCCGTTACAAAGGTAAAGTGCCCAACTGACAGACCATAACAATGTAGTTTTTACTTTATGTAAATTCCCATGTCTTGGAAATCTCTTTTGAAAAAGGTGATCATTCCAGCTAGATCATCAGTATATTTTTTGAAAATTGAACTTTCAGGGTGTACTTTGTGTAATGCTTCTCATATGCAACTGTGTGAAGCTTAAAAAAATTAATTTATTCAAACCATCAGATGCTTGTATACGGGACCAGCATGTGACATGTTATCTCTTCCAAGAATTGTGATGATTTTGTAAAATTATTATCTTGAGTGTAAGGACAATATAGGCAGCTATATGAATTTTTTTAAAATGAAACTGTTAACATATTTAGCAGTGAAGATGTGGAGTAATCTTTCTAAATGAGACATATTGGTGTAACTTATGAAGTTAGCTGTACATACAGAAATATTTTAAACACTATTTTTAATGTATATTTATATTGTATAATTAAATGTTAAAAATATTTACAGAAAAAGTTGAACATGTCCAAATGAAGTACAATGGTTTATTTTGCTGATTAATGCAAGGTGCCCAAAGTTCTATATCCGTTTTGTAATGTGCCCGCTTTTCTTGTATTAAAAGGGCGACTTTTCTGAAAGCAAGCAAAGATTTGAAAGTAAAAAAAAAGGATGTTGCTACATATCAGAATCAAGTCAATGTTGTGGTTCCTCTTTTAAAGTTGCCTGGTGAAAGGGGGATATTTGACGTACACGTTATTTTTTAACAAAGAAAAAATTAAGTAGTTGAAGAAGAAATTGACTTTAGTAAGAAAATAATTTCGTCAATGAACTATAATTGAAAAAATATATATATTACATATTTATGAGGTATGTAAGATGCTGTGTATACACCTATCAAAAAACAAATAATAAATTTGACTCGCTTTACGAGTTAATGATGGTTAAAAATTGCTTTGAGTTTATATCCCGTGCACAGTACTCTGTAGACTTAGAACGAAAACTGTTGCCTATTTTCATTTGGATACTCAGACAACAGTATAGGCCATGTAGGCATTAATTTACTACTCATTTAATATAAAGAAACTCGCTCTGTGCAGACAGAATTAAGAGCAACCCATAAGGGGTGCCTGCAAAAATCCTTGAGGAAATTTGAAAAAGAAAAAAAAACTGCAGTATATCATATGCAATGATGGCTAAAAAAATCAACACAGTCTGCAAAGCTCTACTTAAACGTAAATTTACATGTATTTTTGTATTTGCAAGTGATTTATTCTAATTACATGTATGTTAATGAGTGTGTTTGGAAGGTGCTTCGTCATCATTGTGTGTCAAACGTCTTGTATTTGCTTATGTGAAATGAAATTTAAAAAATGTGTGTGAGTGTGTGTTCTTTGTAAGTTCACGTTTTTTAAAAGATATTTATTTATCTTAACGAGCCACTTGAGTGTTTGTTCGCAGTACACGTGAATCTCACAATTTCTTTTACCCTCTCCCTCTCTTTATTTCCTGTTTTAGATATGTTACATCATGAAAATAGTGCCGTCAATGGTTGCATGCATTTTTTCCCTTATGGCTTACACATCAGCTTGAAAATTAAATGAGCGAGAGTTTTCCCAATGTCATTTCTGTACAAGTCCGGGTTATTCATGGCCTTACTACATAAAAAATGGTGGCTGTCACAAACTTCGTTCATTCTAGGATTAGCCACGTAAAAGCCATCCACAATCTCAACACTGTATTGCTGAAGTTGTCGAGTAAATATTTCATTAACAGCTGTCAACATGTAATAGTTTGAATCTTGTTCCCCACAAGGACTTGGGAGAATATTAAGATAAATCAAGCGAGGCGCATACGGCCTCATTTTCTTTTGCATAATGGGCAGAAATTTGAGGAAAACCGGAACATCCTGTTGCAGAAACTTTTTGCTGCTCTCAAAAACATTTGCCCAAATTCCAAAATTAACCAGAATAACTTGATTTGTATTTAGTGCTTGACCTGCAGAATTCATCACAGATGAAATGTGTCTCATTGTATCATTAGAAAAAGGGGACCACTTAAATATCTGTTTTGTTGCGGTCTCGAATTGTTTCCTTATTTTTCTACTCTCATGACGAACATCTTTTTGAAACTGTTTCAAAATGATGCTTCTCAGATACTCACTAACTCTCCTAAGGTGAGAATCGCCGATTATTGTTATATTAATTCTGTCATAACACCGTAAGAGGTCTTTATCAGACGTGAACTCAAATGGACAGCCATCAGACGATCCCCAATATAACTTCCCGCTATCATTCCACCAGCGTCCCATCATAAAATCGTCCAGGGTTTTAGAATTGCAAGAACTTTGCTTGTAATCTGTCTCCAACACCCTTCCTTTCTTTTCGGGGCATTTATTAAAAGTAGATATTACCTTGTGGATTCTATTTGGCCAGCATATCTTCTCCCAAAAGCGATGCACACCAATCCGTGGATGATGCTTGTATGCCTCAAAACCAGTATAGTCAAAATACACAGTGCCCTTGACACAGCCAGTAATTTTTGGACAAAGAGCGATATAACTGCCGTTGTAAAAGTCCGTCACTGGACACGTGAGTATTTCTCTTCCATGCAGTTCGATTCGAAACCCACTGCCTCCCAAAGAACTCTGTGGCTGCTTTTCTGAAGTGATAACGCTTTCCCTGATGAATACCACGAACTCGTTGTCGGAAATAGTGACGGCGATGGTATGGTTCACATTCGGGGACCTAGTCGCATCGCACACATGTTGATTTTCACAGTGATTCCAAAAATGCAACAATTGCTCGCTCTCTGATGGCCCATTCCTAATCCATAAGTTGCCATTTGTTCCTTTCATTAGGTTAAATTTACCATCATTCGCGTATTTTAATCTGACTGAGTTTTCGTCGATTTTTTGGAGATTTTTTTGTCGCGAATTTCTATCCAAACCAATCCCAAAGAGATGTAAATGTTGTCGATCAAAAATAAAAAGAATACCCACATATATAATTGTTGCAAGACATGCACATCCGATAATCAGGATAATCTTATGCAGTCCCATGTCTCAAACTTGACACATATATGTATGAACTCGATGGATGTTTGATTCCTGGAAGAAGGAGTGTATATCTCAGCGATGCCTGCCAGACTAATATCCCGTATACACTGTATGTACTAGATAGCAGAGAATGTCCTTGATTCAATATGCCAAATCTTAAAGAAGGACGGAAGTACATACATTTTTTTTTTTTTATGTAGTCCGACTGAGTAATTTTTTAATATTCGAGTCCCGGGAATCGCGTTTCCGAGCGATAGCCTGATGCGGTGTAATTGACGATAATGCAAAACAACACACCTGAACGCGACTGCATAAAACTCGCTGAAACGGAAATGACGTAACCTGTTTGGTATACTCGCTTCACTGCTGAAATGGTTTGAAGCGGTTTGTTTCTCATCATTCTAACTGAAACAAGTTGAAGAGAGGCAAAGGACGCTATTGTGTGGTGCATGGAGGCAACAGTACTAGTTGCTATATTGACGAAGTTTTGTTTCATTTCTTTCGGGTAAAAAATAGAAATTGAGAAGACAGTGGATCAATTTTGTTTGCGTGCCACGTAAAGATTTTGATCTGCGGTCGAAGACGATGCGGATATGTGAGAAACAATTTGAGATTCGCGCTACCTGATACAGTAACGACAATTGAAAAACATTGAAAAAGAAGAAGAAATGTAAATTTTTGCTGACAGAGATAGTTACGACCACTCGCCTGCATACCAAGATATTCATCATACAGAGGCACAAGGTATCATAGATTGTAATGAGAATGCAGTCTTCCATAAGTACTTCCATTACTTTTTTATTTATGATAAGTTTATATGATTTGAAACTAACTGATGACATTCAGTATACCAGTAAAGGGCAGAAGCTGTGGAGATTTATTAAATCACTTGTTCAGATTTTCTTTTTACCTTACCTATATAGTTAACTTCTCTGCGTGCGAGCGTATTTTAATAGAAAAGATTTGAATTGTGTTACTAAGCCTGTCCACATATACGTAGAATGTTTTCTTATAATTTCAGATACTAGTAACAAGAGGGACCCAGCTGAAGGGAATGAAGGTCCAAGATCATTTGCTGTTCAGTCTAAGCCTAAACTTCAATGTAAAGGTGAGAAAGCTTCATTATAAATTATTTCATTTTGTGTGCTTTAACTTATGACAGTTGTATTTATTATTATTGTTATTGTTGCCACAGGTGTCCAGACAAACAGAAATGCAATATGTCATATGCAGAATATTCTGGTCACATCATGTATGCCTCTGACAAATCTCTTCAGCAGCACTCGCTCAGGATTTACATTGAATTGAGTTCATAACGGATTTGAATTACTTTATTTTAATCTTTTTAATTACTTAAAAAGTACATCGTTTTAGGTTTTGTCCACTGACTGCTGACCGTTGAAGACCGTTGAAGAAAATTCAGTGACATACCTCTGGTGGGAATAGCCCCACCCCCTTTGACAGCACAGTACAGGAGACCACAATTTTGTGAGACTATGTCTCGATTTAACAAGTGAAGGGCAGCTCTTTTGCAAGCTTTGGAAATTTCTATGTATATTTGACTAAGAACCAAAATGTTATAGGGTCCACAGAGGCACCAAGGGAGAGATTATGTTCATAATTAATTTTGACACACTTCAGTATATGAAAGCAAAACATGAAAACATTTTACATGATATGAATATTTTATATGCATTTGTACTATGTGAAACGTAGAGTTCAAGCCTTAATTTATATGTCATGAAGTCTAAAATCATTGTGCAATAAACTAGAAAATGAAATGTGTATAATAAAGTACGTATACTGTGAGATAATCATATAAATTCAATTTGAACTTCTTTTATCTTATCCCATAATAGTAGTGTGGAAAAATGAAAAAAAAACTGACTTGATATAATGGAAAAGCTGGACAAGATTTTACTATGAAGATTTCTATCTGGCACTTGTGATAAATGTGCATATATATTTTTTTTTCTTTGATGACTAACCATTTCTTTATACAAGATCAACTCTAGGTCACTTCAGTCCTCGTGCAAGTTAATGGAATAGAAGTAAATCCAAGTTAGGCAATTTTAACTCTGAGTGATGTCCACTTGATGTAAGCATGCTTCTAATCTTAATCAATGCACAAGCAGTTAGGGGGACCCTGCATTCTTTTCCCCCAAAAAAATCTGCACCGCCACACCACTTGGCAATAAGATATGTTAAGATACCCCTGTATTTCCTGAAAGAATATAATACAATTGCCCAGTAAATTTCATGAAAATAAATGAAAACAAAATATTATATATTCCATTCGGGTGAATAAAAAGCAATGTAAACATTTCAATAAAATATAAGACGAAGATTTAGAGAATTTCAGGATTGTGCTGATGGTAGTATTGCTTGAGTAACTGATTGAATATGATTACATGTACCATGTGTCTGATTTACTGTATGATTTACTTGAATTACTACTTCCTGTGCTAAAAGTATGCGATTTCCAATGTATAGGGACTTAGACAGGCCTGATCAAATCCTGAGTGCATGGTGATAAAACAAACACCACCTTTCTACAAAAAATAAATAAATAAATAAAAAACACTGGTAAATTATGTAACACATATGTATGTCAGACATGTAGACATACTTTACATAACTTATTTAATTCAAAATGTTACGTTTTGCTCCTATCCCTGAAGTATTTTGCATAATACTTCTAATGTTATATTACTTACCACTAAGGAAGTAAATATATATAGAACTTGTAAACTGGAAGTGACGCCAGTGGCACCGCCGTCTCCCTCGTCTTCAGAGTCTGACTGAAAGGGTTCAGATTTGTAAGGGAGTACCGACTGTGTCAAGCTTCAGACGCTTGCCGTGCTCGCCTCATTACTTTCATCATACTGCGTCGTCCAGACCATAGTCCGACACGTGAATCTCCCTACCAACTCGGTCGCAGACAGTGTACATGTAGGCCATACCCCTGACGTCACCTCGCAGTGGCCTCGATTTCGGCTATTTCCAGCCTTCCTCCAAACGAGCGGTTTTCACAGGTGAGAACCCGTACATTCAATGCGCTATAAATAGGTCACTGGTGTACGTATTGAAGTCGCGCTTTCGGCGAGTTGTATTTAAAAAAATACACCATCGGACTACATAAAAAAACGTATGTACTTCCGTCCTTCTTTAAACATCCCGTCACGTGGTAGGCCAGCATGAGGAAAGAAAATACAGCAAATCCTCACACCTTGCACAACAACTAGGTACTGGTACATGTACATGGTTGATGAGAGGAGTTGGTAAGCCTAGATCAATTGTCATTTGTGAAATAAACTTACGTGACGACGACTACTTTGTATAAAATGAAAAACAAATATGCAAATATGAAAAGTTGCGCCACAGAAGTTTTATATGGAAGTGCAACACCTACTGGTACATTTTAGAATTGGTCATGAATCTTAATTCGAGCACCCGGGTTTGGGCCAGACTCCTAAAAATTAAACTTTTTTGCAAGAAGGCTACAGTTTTTACTTTAAAGAGAAGATATGAACCAATACCAACTTATCGTATCCTATAAACCTATAGTGACTATACAAATGTTACTCTAAATATCCACTTTATCCACTGCGAGCGCGAGCAATGTCAATTTTCGGCATGCCATCTTTTAAACTTATTCAACTCTCTTTTAAAGCTGATTTAAACACATCGCTTGACATGGCCCTATAATAAATTCATAATTTTTGTTTTTCTATGAACTGACCGCTGATTAACGAAAAAGTATGTCTCAACGCCACCTATTGGCCAAACTCCAATCTCTAAAGTCTTTTTTGTGACTGTGTGACCATGTGACGTTTGTAACATCTGAGCTCGGTTACTATAAATTTGCCGCAGGTGGTTTATTTTGCTGATTGATGCAAGGTGCCCAAAGCTCTAGATCCAATTTGTAATGTACCAGATTCTCTCGTATTAAAAAGGCGACTTTTCTAAAAGAAGGCTTGAAAGTAGAAAAGTATGTTGCCACATATCAGAATCTAGTCAATACTGTGGTTCGTTCCTCTTTTAAAATTGCCAGGTGAAAGGGGGATGTTTGACATACACGTTATTTTTTAACAAAGAAAACATTTAGCAGGTGAAGAAATTTACTTTTAGTAAGAAAATTTTATCAATGAATTGAAAAAAAAATTACTATTTACATATTTATGAGGTATGTAAGATGCTGTGTATACACCTATCAAAAAAATAATAAATTTGACTCGCTTTACCAGTTAATGATGGTTAAAAATTGCTTGGAGTTTTTATACCTTTCACAGTTGCTCTGTAGACTTAGAACTAAACTGTTGCCTATTTTCATTTGGATACTCAGACAACAGTATAGGCCATGTAAGCATTAATTTACTGCTCCTTTAATATAAAGAAGCTCGCTCTGTGCAGACAGAATTAAGAGCTACCCATAAGGGGTGCCTGCAAAAAATCCTTGGGGAAATAAAAAGAAAATAGATTTTCAGTCCAGACTCCTTGCACCCACTGCGCTCGTGAAAAGTTGCCGGTCTAATAACGAGATAGGAAAATGTAGTCTTGATATGATTTGAAGGTGGTGGTGGTGGTGTTTGTGCTATTTTCATTTACTAAATTTGAAAAAGAAATCTGCAGTATATCATATGCAATGATGGCTTTAAAATCAAGACACCCTGCTAAGCTCTACTTAAACATAGATTTACATGTGTTTTTGTACATAATTTGCAAATGATGTATTTTAATTACAAGTATGTTAATGGGTGTGTTTGGAAGGTGCTTCGTTATCATTGTGTGGCAAACGTCATGTATTTACTTATATGTAATGAAATTTAAAAATGTGTGTGTGTTCTTTGTAAGTTCACGTTTTTTAAAAGATATTTATTCATCTTAACGAGCCACTTGAGTGCTTGTTAACAGTACACGTGAATCTCTCAATTTCTTTTACCCTCTCCCTCTCTTTATTTCTTTTTTAAAGATATGTTACATCATAAAAATAGTGCCGTCAATGGTTGCATGTATTCTCCCCTTATGGCTTACACATCAGCTTGAAAATTAAATGAGCGAGAGTTTTTCCAATGTCATTTCTGTACAAGTCCAGGTTATTCATGGCCTTACTACATAAAAAGTGGTGGCTGTCACAAACTTCGTTCATTCTTGGATTAGCCACGTAAAAACCATCCACAATCTCAACACCGTATTGCTGAAGTTGTCGAGTAAATATTTCATTAACAGCTGCCAACATGTAATAGTTTGAGTCTTGTTCCCCACAAGGACTTGGGAGAATGTTAAGATAAATCAGGCGAGGCGCATGTGGCTTCATTTTCTTTTGCAAAGTGGATAGAAATTTGAGGAAAACCGGAACATCCTGTTGCAGAAACTTTTTGCTGCTCTCAAAAACATTTGCCCAAATTCCAAAATTTACCAGAATAACTTGATTTGTATTTTGTGCTAGATTTGTAGAGTTCAACACAGAATGAATATGTGCTGGCATTTCTTTGGAGTATGGGGACCACATGAATATCCGTTTTGCTGCTCGAGACTGTTTCAAAATGATGCTTCTTAGATACTCACTAAATCTCCTAACATGAGAATCAATTCTGTCATAACACCGTAGAAGCTCTTTATAAGACATGAGTTCAAATGGACAGCCATCAGACGATCCCCAGTGTAACTTCCCCCTATCATTCCACCAGCGTCCCATCATGAATTCATCCAGCGTTTTAGACTTGCAAAAACCTGACTTGTTATTTGTTCTCAGACCTGTTCTTGTTTTGTCGGGGCATATTTCAAAAATACGTATCACCTTGTGGATTTTTCTTGGCCAACATAAATCCTCAAACCGCATATGCTTCTTAGGCCGTTGGTGATGCCTGTATGCTTCAAATCCAGTATAGTCAAAATACACTGTGCCTTTGACACAGCCAGTAATTTTTGGACAAATAGCGATATAAGTGCCGTTGTAAAAGTCCGTCACTGGACACGTGAGTATTTCTCTTCCATGCAGTTCGATTCGAAACCCACTGCCTCCCAAAGAACTCTGTGGCGGCTTTTCTGAAGTGATAACGCTTTCCCTGATGAATACCACCAACTCGTTGTCGGAAATAGTGACGGTGATGGTATGATTCACATTCGGGGACCGAGTTGCATTGCACACATGTTGATTTTCACAGTGATTCCAAAAATGCAACAATTGCTCGCTCTCTGATGGACCATTCCTAATCCATAAGTTACCATTTGTTCCGTTCATGAGGTTATATTTTCCACCATTCACGTACATTAGTCTGGCTGAGGATTCTTCGTCGTTTTGAAGATATTTTCTCCGGGCATTTCTTGCCAAATCCTTCTTAAAGAGACCAAAATACTGTTGATCCGAAAATAAAAGTCGAGTGCCCAAGCAAACAATGAATGCCGTGATACACGTACTTGTACATCCGATAACCAACAAAATCCTATTTAGTTCCATAATTCAAACTCAGTAATTTTCCTGGATTGAAGTATAATTCATGCAGTGATGCCAAAGATCACATCTCTTCACTTGGAACATATACAAGTAGATGACTATATGTCTTCACTTGGAACATATACACGTACAAGTAGATGACTATATGTCTTCACTTGGAACATATACACGTACAAGTAGAAGGCTATAAGTCTTCACTTGGAACATATGCACGTACGTGTAGAAGGCTATATGTCTTCATCTTGGTACATAGATGAAAATTCTTTGGGCAAACTCCTCCCACTATAGTACCAACTATGACGAACGAGTCTAGACTGAGTCAAAGACTGTGGCGCCTGCAGCTTTTTAGAAAATTTACACACAGTTCTTAGCCAAAGATGCACGTTAAACCTAAGTATTACGCAATTTTCATTTATCTCCGTCTTCATCTTAGTCCGTAGGTGGTTTATGGAACACTCATAATGAATGGGAGGAGATACAAGTAATTTCAGAGTGGACCTTCTACAATCAAAAAGGTTACTATAAGGACAAGGAAGGGATTAATATTTCCAGGTGCTTATGCAAAAGTGGAGCTCGACATAGTAAAAAATGCAATGAACTCTGACAACAAAGAAATACATGTACGTACGTAAAACCCCGTAATGATAATGATCAAGATATGATATATGGCTGCCTTAACTCCGTGTTTGGACAGGTAAAGTAAAAATGAGAAAGTACTGCTTAGGATGAACGAAAGGAGATCTTTGATAGAGATTATCTATAATCGGCAGAAGAAATAGATCGGTCACGTTATGAAACCTCATGAACTGTTGGGGGGGGGGGGGTCTTTGAAGGCAGGTTAAATAGGAAAAGACGCTGTGGAAGAAAGAGAATGACAATGCTCGACCACTGGCATAAGAATTAAGAAAGAAAGTTGTTGTGAGATCAAACGAAGGGCTGACGATCGAGAGGGACGCTGAACCTGCCTCACGGCAGACAACAATAACAAAAAGAAGGTGGCAATGCACGTGTGGGTCTACATGTTGAATTCTCGGTCGATACTGTTTTTATCTGTAAATTAATGCCGTCAACCCAGGGTTACGCAAAGCCTGTTGCGGCTTTTCTGAAGTGATAACGCTTTCCCTGATGAATACCACCAACTCGTTTTTGGAAACAGTGACGGCGATGGTATGATTCACATTCGGGGACCTAGTTGCATCGCAGACATGTTGATTTTCACAGTGATTCCAAAAATGCAACAATTGCTCGCTCTCTGATGGCCCATTCCTAATCCATTAGTTACCATTTGTTCCGTTCATGAGGTTGTATTTTCCACCATTCACATACATTAGTCTGGCTGAGGTTTCCTCGTTGTGTTGAAGATATTTTCTCCGGGCATTTCTTGCCAAATCCTTTTTAAATGGACCAATATATTGTTGATCCAAAAATAAAAGTCGAGTGCCCATGCACACAATGAGTACCGTGATACATGCACTTGTACATCCGATAACCATCAAAATCTTATTAAGTTCCATAACTCAATCTTTTCTGCCTGGTTTTTAGTCAGATTGCATGTATAACATCCATTAAAGGAGACTTAAGAGAGATTATGTATGAAATGTCTGTTATTGGTGAATTCAGTCAGATTGTGCGTGTAAGGTCCATGAATTATGACTGAGCCCTGAGTGACTGAATATTTGAATATTAAATATTTGATTTGTACACGGGCATTTTATTTTTACACATTTAACATGAAAGTCAATGTAATCCGCCATGGTATTTCTGTAGTGGCTCCCCAATTCCCCGTTATAAGGACGATGTGCCCAACCAACTGACTGTAAGAATTTCCATAAGAATGTAGTTTTTACTTTGTGTAAATTGCCTTGGAAATCTCTTTTGGAAATAGTGATCATTCCAGCTAGATCACCAGTATATTTTTTGAAAATTGAACTTCAGGGAGTACTTTGTGTAATGCCTCTCATATGCAACTGTGTGAAGCTTAAAGTTGATTTTTTCAAAATAACAGATGCTTGTAAGGGATGCTTGCAAAAGTCCTTGGGGGGAAAAACATAAGAAAATAGATTTCAGACCTTGTGCCCACTGGTCTCGTAAAAAGCAGTGGGTCTAATACAGACATGGAAAAATGTAGAAAAAGTCTTGATATGATTGGAAGATGGTGGTGTTTGTGCTATTTTCATTTACTAAATATTTTACAAAAATCTGCAGTATAACATATACTGTGATCGCTATAAAAATCAACACAGCCTGCTAAGCTTTACTTAAACGTAAATTTACTTGTATTTTTGTACATAATTTGCAAGGGATGCATTTTATATTAATTACACGTATGTGAATGAGACTGTGGAAGGTGCTTTGTCAATATTGCGTAGCAAAGTTATTTGCTTATATAATGCTTATGTCATTTAAAAAACCATGTGTGTGTGTTCACATCCAAGTTCACTTTTTAAAGACATTTCCTCATCTAAACGAGCCACACACGCGTTTGTTCGCAGTACGCGTTGACCTCAATTTTTTACCCTCTATTTACACTGTATTTCCAGTTTTAGATTTGTATCATCATAAAAAATGAAATGCCATCATTGTTTGCATGCATTTTTCCTTATGGCTTACACATCGGCTTGAACATTAAATAAGCAAGTGTCTTCCCAACGTCATTTCTGTACAGTCTGGATTATTAATGACCTTATTACATAGGATATGCTGGCTGTCAAAAACTTCGTTCATTCTAGGATTGCATGGCGACGTAAAAACCATCCACGCATCGCATGTGGGTTCACTTTCTTTTGCAAAGTGGATAGAGATTTGAGAAAAAAGGGAACATCCTGCTGCAGAAACTTTTTGCTGCTCTCAAAAACGTTTGCCCAAATTCCTAAATTTACCAGAATAACTTGATTTATATTGTGTGCTTGACCTGTAGAATTCAACACAGATGTAATGCGTTTAATTGGATTATTTGTGAACGGGGACCACTTAAATATCTGTTTTGTTGCGGTCTCGACGATCATCTTGCTTCAAAACAAAATTTCTCAGATGTTTTGAAAATATTTTTGTCGTGAATCTCTCTCCAAATCAATCCCAAACAGACCAAAATGTTGTCGATTCAAAATAATAGGAATTCCCACGTATATTATTGTTGCAACACATGCGCATCCGATATTCGGGATAATCTTATGCAGTCCCATGTCTCAAACTTGACATATACTTGTATGGACTCGATGGATGTTTGATTCCTGGGTGAAGGAGTGTATTTCACAGCGATGCCTACCAGACTGATATTCCGAATATGTCCTTGACAGCAGCCAGCGTCATTGATTCAATATGACGAAACTCAAACAACATGAGGAATGAAAATACAGCAAACCCCTTACTTCGCGTGCAACAACTAAGTACACTGTTGCTCAAAAGAGTAGGTAGGCTTACACAAATTGGCATTTGTGAAATAAGCTTATGCCACAACGACTACTTTGTATAAAATGAAAAACAAATATGCAAATAAGAAAAGTTGCTCACATAATTCGCTCACCCAGTTTTGGGTTACTCCTAAAAATTAAACCTTTTTGCAAGAAGGCTACAGTTTTTTATTTTAAAGAGAAGATATGAACCAATACCAACTTTTCGTACCCTATAAATCTATACTGATTTTATAAATGTTTTTCTAAATATCCACTGTATCCACTGCGAGTGCGAGCAATGTCAATTTCTCGGCATGTCGTGCTTTTAACATGTTCAATTCGCCTTTAAAGCTGATTTTACCACATTGCTTGGCATGGTCCTATGATAAATTCATTACTTTTATATTCTATAAACCAACCACTGATTTAAGAAAAGGTCTGTGTCAACGCCACCTATTGGCCAAAATCCCAATCTCTAATGTCATTATTGTGACTGTGTGACAATGTGACGTTTGTAACATCTGAGCTCGGATACTTTAAATTCGCCGCAGTCTGCCTGCTCCCTTTGATTTCAATTTATAAATCATCTAAAACTAAACCGGAATGTCAACTTGTATCCGTTTTAAATAATGATATATTTATTTTTAGAATCTGATGCACGATGAGTCAATGAACATAAAGGACGAGAAAAAGAATCTCGATTTTTTATTATTTGACGAAAGCAAGGTATTCACTGCCAGTTTCACCCTTGAATAAAATTGAACACCGTCGGTGATATTAAATGTATTCTATCCGCATTTTAAATATATCACAAAGATATGCTTTCTATTTCTACATAACCTGCAAAGCAGCAGGGAAATTGTATTTTTCCAAGAAAATTTACTGTGATAAAAAAATCACGAATACAATACCTTATAGCATCACCGGAGTGTCACAGAAAGCGTCACCTACTGCCATACAAGAATGTATCTTTCATATCCAGGACACTGTGATCAAATGTAAAAGTCTCGCAAGTTTCTCCTTGACTCCCTCTAAAGCCACCACTGCGTTAGCTGCTACCACANAAAAAATCTGCACCGCCACACCACTTGGCAATAAGATATGTTAAGATACCCCTGTATTTCCTGAAAGAATATAATACAATTGCCCAGTAAGTTTCATGAAAATAAATGAAAACAAAATATTATATATTCCATTCGGGTGAATAAAAAGCAATGTAAACATTTCAATAAAATATAAGACGAAGATTTAGAGAATTTCAGGATTGTGCTGATGGTAGTATTGCTTGAGTAACTGATTGAATATGATTACATGTACCATGTGTCTGATTTACTGTATGATTTACTTGAATTACTACTTCCTGTGCTAAAAGTATGCGATTTCCAATGTATAGGGACTTAGACAGGCCTGATCAAATCCTGAGTGCATGGTGATAAAACAAACACCACCTTTCTACAAAAAATAAATAAATAAATAAATAAAAAACACTGGTAAATTATGTAACACATGGCATATATGTATGTCAGACATGTAGACATACTTTACATAACTTATTTAATTCAAAATGTTACGTTTTGCTCCTATCCCTGAAGTATTTTGCATAATACTTCTAATGTTATATTACTCACCACTAAGGAAGTAAATATAGAACTTGTAAACTGGAAGTGACGCCAGTGGCACCGCCGTCTCCCTCGTCTTCAGAGTCTGACTGAAAGGGTTCAGATTTGTAAGGGAGTACCGACTGTGTCAAGCTTCAGACGCTTGCCGTGCTCGCCTCATTACTTTCATCATACTGGTAAGCCTAGATCAATTGTCATTTGTGAAATAAACTTACGTGACGACGACTACTTTGTATAAAATGAAAAACAAATATGCAAATATGAAAAGTTGCGCCACAGAAGTTTTATATGGAAGTGCAACACCTACTGGTACATTTTAGAATTGGTCATGAATCTTAATTCGAGCACCCGGGTTTGGGCCAGACTCCTAAAAATTAAACTTTTTTGCAAGAAGGCTACAGTTTTTACTTTAAAGAGAAGATATGAACCAATACCAACTTATCGTATCCTATAAACCTATACTGACTATACAAATGTTACTCTAAATATCCACTTTATCCACTGCGAGCGCGAGCAATGTCAATTTTCGGCATGCCATCTTTTAAACGTATTCAACTCTCTTTTAAAGCTGATTTAAACACATCGCTTGACATGGCCCTATAATAAAGTCATAATTTTTGTTTTTCTATGAACTGACCACTGATTAACGAAAAAGTATGTCTCAACGCCACCTATTGGCCAAACTCCAATCTCTAAAGTCTTTTTTGTGACTGTGTGACAATGTGACGTTTGTAACATCTGAGCTCGGTTACTATAAATTTGCCGCAGGTGGTTTATTTTGCTGATTGATGCAAGGTGCCCAAAGCTCTAGATCCAATTTGTAATGTACCAGATTCTCTCGTATTAAAAAGGCGACTTTTCTAAAAGCAGGCTTGAAAGTAGAAAAGTATGTTGCCACATATCAGAATCGAGTCAATATTGTGGGTTCTTCCTCTTTTAAAATTGCCAGGTGAAAGGGGAATGTTTGACATACACGTTATTTTTTAACAAAGAAAACATTTAGCAGGTGAAGAAATTTACTTTTAGTAAGAAAATAATTTCATCAATGAATTGATAAAAAATTACTATTTACATATTTATGAGGTATGTAAGATGCTGTGTATACATGTACACTTATCAAAAAAAAAAATTGACTCGCTTTACGAGTTAATGATGGTTAAAAATTGCTTGGAGTTTTTATACCTTTCACAGTTGCTCTGTAGACTTAGAAGTAAACTGTTGCCTATTTTCATTTGGATACTCAGACAACAGTATAGGCCATGTAGGCATTAATCTACTGCTCCTTTAACTAAAGAAATTCACTCTGTGCAGACAGAATTAAGAGCTACCCATTAGGGGTGCCTGTAAAAAAATCCTTGGGGAAATAAAAAGAAAATAGTTTTTCAGTACAGACTCCTTGTACCCACTGCACTCGTGAAAAGCAGCTGGTCTAATAACGAGATAGGAAAATGTAGTCTTGATTTGAAGGTGGTGGTGGGGTTTGTGCTATTTTTATTTACTAAATTTGAAAGAAAAATCTGCAGTATACCATATGCGATGATGGCTATAAAAATCAACACAGTCTGCTAAGCTCTACTTAAACATAGATTTACATATATTTTTGTACATAATTTGCAAGTGATGTATTCTAATTACATGTATGTTAATGAGTGTGTTTGGAAGGTGCTTCATCATCATTGTGTGCCAATTGTCTTGTATTTGCTTATATGAAATGAAATGTGTGTGTTCTTTGTAAGTTCACGTTTTTTAAAGATATTTATTCATCTTAACGAGCCACTTGAGTGTTTGTTCACAGTACACGTAAATTACACAATTTCTTTTACCCTCCCCCTCTCTTTACTTCTTGTTTTAGATATGTTACATCATGAAAATAGTGCCGTCAATGGTTGCATGCATTTTTCCCTTATGCCTTACACATCAGCTTGAAAATTAAATGAGCGAGAGTTTTCCCAATGTCATTTCTGTACAAGTCCGGGTTATTCATCGCCTTACTACATAAAAAGTGGTGGCTGTCACAAACTTCGTTCATTCTAGGATTGACCACGTAAAAACCATCCACAATCTCAACACCGTTTTGCTGAAGTTGTCGAGTAAATATCTCATTAACAGCTGCCAACATGTAGTAGTTTGAGTCTTGTTCCCCACAGGGACTTGGGAGAATATTAAGATAAATCAGGCGTGGTGCACGTGGCTTCATTTTCTTTTGTAAATTGGATAGAAATTTGAGGAAAACCGGAACATCCTGTTGCAGAAACTTTTTGCTGCTCTCAAAAACATTTGCCCAAATTCCAAAATTAACCAGAATAACTTGATTTGTATTTTGTGCTCGACCTGCAGAATTCATCACAGATGAAATGTTTTTAATTGTACCATTTGAAAAAGGGGACCACTTAAAATATCTGTTTCGTTGCGGTCTCGAATTGTTTCCTTATTTTTCTACTCTCATGACGATCATCTTTTTGAAACTGTTTCAATATGATGCGCGTCCCATCATAAAATCGTCCAGGGTTTTAGAATTGCAAGAACTTTGCTTGTAATCTGTCTCCAACACTGCCTCTTTCTTTTCGGGGCATTTATCAAAATTAGTTATTACCTTGTGGATTCTTCTTGGCCAGCACATCTTCTCCCAAACCCAATTTGCACCAGTCCGTGGATGATGTCTGTATGCCGCAAAACCAGTATAGTCAAAATACACTGTGCCCTTGACACAGCCAGTAATATTTGGACAAACAGCGATATAAGTGCCGTTGTAAAAGTCAGTCACTGGACACGTGAGTATTTCTCTTCCATGCAGTTCGATTCGAAACCCACTACCTCCCAAAGAACTCTGTGGCGGCTTTTCTGAAGTGATAACGCTTTCCCTGATGAATACCACCAACTCGTTTTCGGAAATAGTGACGGCGATGGTATGATTCACATTCGGGGACCTAGTTGCATTGCACACATGTTGATTTTCACAGTGATTCCAAAAATGCAATAATTGCTCGCTCTCTGATGGCCCATTCCTAATCCATAAGTTACCATTTGTTCCGTTCATGAGGTTATATTTTCCACCATTCACGTACATTAGTCTGGCTGAGGATTCTTCGTCGTTTTGAAGATATTTTCTCCGGGCATTTCTTGCCAAATCCTTCTTAAAGAGACCAAGATACTGTTGATCCGAAAATAAAAGTCGAGTGCTCAAGCACACAATGAATACCGTGATACACGTACTTGTACATCCGATAACCAACAAAATCCTATTTAGTTCCATAATTCAAACTCAGTCAGTAATTTTCCTGGATAGAAGTATAATTCATGCAGTGATGCCAAAGATCACATCTCTTCACTTGGAACATATACAAGTAGATGACTATATGTCTTCACTTGGAACATATGCACGTACATGTAGAAGGCTATATGTTTTCACTTGGTATATAGATGAAAATTCTTTGGGCAAACTCCTCCCACTATAGTACCAACTATGACGAACGAGTCTATATTGAGTCAAAGACTGTGGCGCCTGCAGCTTTTTAGAAAATTTATACACAGTTCTTAGCCAAAGATACACGTTAAACCTGAGTATTACGCAATTTTCATTTATCTCCGTCTTCATCTTAGTCCGGAGGTGGTTTACTCATAATGAATAGGAGGAAATAAATGATTTCAGATTGGAGATTCTACAATCAAAAAGGTTATTGAAAGGACAAGGAAGGGATTATATTAGTATTTCCAGGTGCTAATGCAAAAGTGGATTTCGACGTAGTAAAAAGTACAGTGAACTCTGATGACAAAGAGATACATGTACGTACGTATAACCCCGTAATGGTAATGATCAAGATATGATATATGGCTGCCTTAACTCCGTGTTTGGACAGATAGGGTAAAAATAAGAAAGTACTGCTTGGGATGAACGAAAGGAAATCTTTGATAGAGATTATCTATAATCGGCAGAAGAAATAGATTGGTCACGTTATGAAACCTCATGAATTGTTGGGGGGGGGGGGTCTTTGAAGGCAGGTTAAATAGGAAAAGACGCTGTGGAAGAAAGAGAATGACAATGCTCGACCACTGGCATAAGAATTAAGAAAGAAAGTTGTTGTGAGATCAAACGAAGGGCTGACGATCGAGAGGGACGCTGACAACAACAACAACAAAAAGAAGGTGGCAATGCACGTGTGGGTCTACATGTTGAATTCTCGGTCGATACTGTTTTTATCTGTAAATTAATGCTGTCAACCCAGGGTTACGCAAAGCCTGTTGCGGCTTTTCTGTAGTGAGTACGCTTTCCCTGATGAATACCACCAACTCATTGTCGGAAATAGTGACGGCGATGTTATGGTTCACATTCGGGGACCGAGTCGCATTGCACACATGTTGATTTTCACAGTGATTCCAAAAATAAAACAATTGCTCGCTCTCTGATGGCCCATTCCTAATCCATTAGTTACCATTTGTTCCGTTCATGAGGTTGTATTTTCCACCATTCACATACATTAGTCTGGCTGAGGTTTCCTCGTTGTGTTGAAGATATTTTCTCCGGGCATTTCTTGCCAAATCCTTTTTAAATGGACCAATATATTGTTGATCCAAAAATAAAAGTCGAGTGCCCATGCACACAATGAGTACCATGATACATGCACTTGTACATCCGATAACCATCAAAATCTTATTAAGTTCCATAACTCAATCTTTTCTGCCTTGTTTTTAGTCAGATTGCATGTATAACATCCATTAATAGAGACTTAAGAGAGATTATGTATGAAATGTCTGTTATTGGTGAATTCAGTCAGATTGTGCGTGTAAGGTCCATGAATTATGACTGAGCCCTGAGTGACTGAATATTTGAATATTAAATATTTGATTTGTACACGGGCATTTTATTTTTACACTTTTTAACATGAAAGTCAATGTAATCCGCCATGGTATTTCTGTAGTGGCTCCCCAATTCCCCGTTATAAGGACGAAGTGCTCAACTGACTGACTGACTGTAAGAATTTCAATAAGAATGTAGTTTTTACTTTGTGTAAATTGCCTTGGAAATCTCCTTTGGAAATAGTGATCATTCCAGCTAGATCACCAGTATATTTTTTGAAAATTGAACTTCAGGGAGTACTTTGTGTAATGCCTCTCATATGCAACTGTGTGAAGCTTAAAGTTGATTTTTTCAAACTCACAGATGCTTG